TAAACAGTATAATACTGTTTGAAAGAATCAAAGAAATAGAGATGCAAAGGATAAGTACTTACAAAAATTTTAAATTGACAAGTTGTTTGATTGAGAATTAATTTTCTTATTTGTTATTGATAGTGACAAAGTCTGAATAATCTATAAATTATAAAAGCATTCAGTAGCAGAGAATACCAGCTGGTAACAGAAAGGAGAAAAAAAATTTAATTCGAAAATTTAGTTTTGTAATTTAGAAATTACAGGAATCCGAGAGAAGATTGAGAACATTTTTTTCATTATTGTTTTTAAATTGTTTATAAAATTTTAGAGAGAAGTACATCCTCAGGAGTATTGTTCCTGGTGCTCAGAGCTACGCCAGGGCAGGAATTCATATCATTAGGTACTTTACAAAATGGTTTTTTGAGTTATTTGCAATTGTTATGTAAATGATAGAGTTATCTGTTTGAGTAAATTAACAACAAGGTATATAACAAATATTTTTTAAGACCTATAAATTTAGGTATATCTACATTAAATTATTTAAATCATTATTCATCATTGACTTCTTGGAAATTTTTGATGTCAAGAAATGAAGACATCTATAATCTAAGGGTTAATCGTTATTTTATCATCTTATTGGAGATTACTAATGCCATGGAAAAACCAAAATGATAACAAGGAGGTGGGATTTTAACATGGTTATCTACCTCGGATTTGATATGAAGATAAGACAGGCAGTTGCAGTTAGTATCTTGATCAGTTCCCAATATTACCTGCTCTGTTTGATTAGCCTTCTATATTATCTATTATAGTAAGAAGTTGTGGTTACTTTCGGTTAATAGTGACAGTAGTATTGAAAAATGCATGTAATTAAATTTTACAACTTTTTGCAACTTTTTTATAATAAATTTTGTCTACCTGGATGTATCTGGTAGTGTAAGAAATTTTCTGGTTTGTCCTTCTCTTGTTTGCCTGTAACTGTTTTGTCCAACCATAAACTTCCTAATATTTAATTTTCTGACAGATGTCAGCCTGCCATGAATTTTCATAATTATCCACTCTTTATTGCTTTCTACAGTGTTGGCCAAAAGTATGGAAACCACCTAAAATTGTATAACAATTTGGTCCTGCGCCAATTATTAGAGATCTAATGGTGCGTTTAAAAACTTCAGTCTTTTCTCAGTTGACGTGTTTTGGCTATTTTTTTAAATGTTCAAAAACTTTATATCTGGAATAGCCTCTCTGTTCAAATATTGTGTAATTTTCAGGAGATATATAATTTTTACGGCTCGTTCGAATGGTACCAGTCATTTATACCTAAAACCACACGCCGAAACACGTCAACTGAGAGAAGGATTGAGGTTTTTGAATGCACCATTAGATATTTATTAATTGGTGCAGGATCAAATTTTTATACAATTTGAGCTAGTTTCTGTACTTTTGGCCATCACTGTAGTTCAGTTTAAAAGAGGATGAAGTTTGGAAATCAATAAATTTAGAAATGTGTTTGTTTTTATATTTGGAGGATAACTGTATTCGTTTGACCTACGGCGAAATGTTTCAGACATTTCAAAGTTTCCCCGAAAAAAGTTTGCACACAAAACTGAAAAGGCTCAGTTGAGCATCTTAAAGCAAACAGGTCGTGATACCTTTCCTGATGATGAAAAGAAAAACTTGTCTCGGTACATTTCTTGTTTAAAATCCAGATGGCTTGAAGTTAGTCGAAACAAAGTGTTATTTCTTAAAAAATATTCAAATTGGTTCAACAAAAGGATAAAATTTTGAAAAAAACGGACATTCAAACGATCTACTGGGCGACCAAAATCCGATTTTAATAGCTGTAGTGAAAGATAAAAAAGGCTGAAAACTTCGGATTTGCGGTGTAGTAGCAGCGTGCAAGAACTGGCATACGCTACTCAAATGAAGTTTAGAGCGGAGGGAAATATAGACGCTTACAAAATAATTAGAGATATCACGAATATTGATATAAAGGCAAAGGAATATCGCAAAGCACTAGACGAAACCAAAAATGCAGCATCCAAATTAAGTAGCGTTGAAGCTGTATCTCTTATTATTGAAGCTAAATTAAGCAAAAATCAATATAATTTAATTAGACAACGAACTCGAGAAAAAGCTTCTTCAAGCAAAAAAAGAATGCTACCCAGCAGAAGATGTTGTAAATTCTAACATTGAAGTGGAGGTCTCTTTGCAATCACTGTTTGATCACACCAGTAAAAGGTTGCTGATTCTTCAACAAGAAGTTCTACGTAGGTTAGATATTAAAAGTGTGGAAATATAATTATTTTTAGTATGTAAGTGAGGATGTGATGGTTAATAAAGATAATCGGAATACAAACAAATATTTAAATCTGCAAACTGTTCAGATGCTAGTGTTTTTTTTAGTATCTTTAGTTCCCATAAGGCTTTACATAAAAAATAATGAAAGCGAAATCATAATTTGGCAAAATTTAAAAACATCCTCCACTCGATTTTGTCGTTCAATAAAACTGTTGGAAAATGAACTATTTGTAATGGCCTCATATAATATTTTTTGTACGTTATTTAAGTTATTGACTGTTAGACAACCAATTATGTCGAACAGCGTATTTTATGTTGCATACCTACCGTCATTTCTAGAAAGAAGGCTTCTTGCAACATCGATCAAAACAACTAATCAATATAATTAATGAAAAATGTCAATGTTAATTTGTAAGTGAAGTTTCAGACCAGTCAGTTTTCCCCTTTGTATTTGTGGCAGTCATTTTGCTGTACGAAAAGGTAAATACATTTGAATCTATCACAAGTTGTATTATTCCACTAAAGGTCAAAAGCTAAACCCATATATCGAGCGAGGATGCGATGATAGAGGAAGCAGTCCGTTATCATCCAAAAACTGTTGTTCAAAAAAGAAACCACTGAGCTAACCATGCAAGAAAAAAGTGCATCGACTCATAGATTTTAAAACTTTCACCTTTTCTCTATTATATAAACAATAAAGTATATTTTGAAATGCACTTTACTATGATCGACCTAAAGGTAGCAAACGCTTTAACTGCCAATAAGTCCTCCCAAACATGCAATCTTTGCGGTGCATCTTCCAAAGACTTAAATGACATAAGCCAAGTTGTTACTAGACCTATTGTTGCTTATGTTACATGCCTGGATTCGTTTTTTTGAAAACCTATTGCACGTGGCTTATAAAATAGACATTCAAAAATGGCAGGCTAGAAACCCTGAAGACAAGCAATCTGTGGCCGAGACAAAAAAAAAACGAATTGAGGCATTGTTGCTTTCAAGCTTAGGTCTGATTGTCGATAAACCTAAGCCAGAATTTGAAAGTTCTAATGATGGGAATACTGCGAGAAGGTTTTTCGACAACGTAGAAATTGTTTCAAAAATTACAAAAGTTGATCTGTATTTAATTAAAAAATTTCATATAATTTTATAGACTTTATCGCCCGGTTTTTTATATGAACTAAAAGAAGGATGGTTTAAATTGTTCCATATATGAACACAATCAATATCAACAACGAACTTTTTCAACTGTACTATCCAGTTATACTTTATATCTGTAGAGTTGATCAAACGCAATTGTTGTTTGAAACAAAACTTTGGATATCGATGATTATCCATTGTCATTATTTTTTGTATCCAATTAAGGGACATTTTAAATATATTAAATGCAAACTTTACTTTTCCAGTCTCTAAACGGATTATAGCATCCGGAGTAGTGATGGAAACTAAAAGAACTCTTTTAAGGAAATATAACTGGACTCTTTCCAATACATCTAAGTATCTTAGGCCCCGAACAGAAATACAATTAAACATAACACTAAGGGCAAGTGACTCAAATAATTTGATTCTAGGCACTATTACTTTTAGCTATCGGAAGGAGAGAACCTATAGCCTGTTTACCTTTGTTGGCAGTAAAATGAGCCATTTCATTAAAGAGACCTGATGAAGTAACTACTACTCCTGGATATGTATATTTATTAGTTATAGAAATAAGTTGGTTGTTAAAGTAAAAATTAAAGTTAGGCGTCCTGAAACCTCCCTTAGAAAATTGCATAATTTTTGTTTTCTGTATATTAACAGTTAATTTATTAGCAACAGTATATTTTTCTAAAATTTTTAACTTTTTAACATCATATCTCAGAGTGTGCTAAAATGACAAGGTCGTCAGCATATATTAGCGACAAAACATCATGCCTACCTTATCCTATTAACTTAATATTTATAATATTCATCAAAAGTTTATCCCCTTGGATATTGTAAAATAAAATATTTCAAATCCAGTACCGAAGAGATATCAGTCACTCCTATAACATTTTCCCAGCGAGACAGGTGTACAAAATTATAATACTTGTGAATTAAAGTTAAATCCCCTCTATAATCCACTCTCGTTCAATTTTAATAATTAAATTGCGAAATCTTAATGGCTATCTTGCGTGTTTCGTTAAAAAGTGTTAAATCAACTTTGCCATAAAATGAAGTGATTTGTTTCGCGTCGTTTTAATGTTTGTTAGCCTTTAATGGAGAAAAGCATACAAATTAAAAAAAAATACGTACATAAAACATTCAGATTGTTTGTAATGGAGGAAGTACCTATCAGGAATCGTATAAATGGCTGGTCATTATAGTAAATGCGTGTTTTTTCTTTAATTAAATTAAGATTTATTTATTGACGAGAAAACCTGTTATTTAACAAGTTAAAAAAAACCGGTAGTTACGGAAACAATATCGGCTGCTTAACTCTAAATAGACACGTGCCAAAGGTAATGTTGTGGAAGGGTATTAATAAATTGGGTATATTTACCTAATACCATTATAAATACCCAAAACGAGAGTATTTATAGTTTGCAGTGTAAAACACAAAGTACTAGATTTGCCAGACTAAATGTAGTAAATGTAGTTCGATCGTACTAAAAAAAGTACAATTGTACTAGATCTAACCTCACTGTCTATCATATACTACTACCATACCATCCATAACCTAACTAACAGTTTTGAACAGAATAATGGTTAGGAAAAAGGGTGCAACTTGGCAGTTTTTCAAGGAGAAAGGCAAAAGTGGTGTTGTGGGTAAATACTGTGATCTTGAATACAAACATTCAAATGTTAATAAAATGACGAAACATAAAAAGAAGTGCTTTAAGTGTCCTGAAGAAATGAAGAAAATTCTTTATTCAGTGCCAGCCACTGTATCTACTAAACTATCAATGTGCATGTCCACCCCGAAGAAAAGAACTAAATATCCCCAACAGGGCCAACAGCTGAAGGAGTTAGAAGTAGATGTGTCTTTTGAACTAAAAGAAGCACATCCCGCAAGGCCAAGTTCAAGTAGGAGTCAAACTTTTCTAGTTTTATCTTTATCTGAAACTGAAAGCAATGCCACTGCCACTAATGCTAGTACCAGTAACATACCTGCAAAAAGTGCTTGTTCCATCTTTAACTTCAATCGACCTCAACCATCACCTTCCATCGTGAATAACAACAGAGGAGGTCTGTTAACTTTTGTGGACCATATAATCAGCTAAATGTAAGTATAGGCTACAAACAGTAGTAGACAGTACACAGTAGTACATCAGACATTTTTTCGTAGTACATCAGACATTTTTTCAATCAGGCTAGAGGGTAGGGGTAGGCTAGGTGCTAGACCTTTAGGGCTACTAACATACCATAATAGTGTTTAGTGTTTGTAACTTAACGTATCAAATTTCATTAAAATATTTAGGCGATTTAGGCCTACAGTTTAAGGTCTAGTCAGTCAGTATGTGCAAATAAATAAAACAGCCTAATGCTACAAACAAAAAATAGTATTCCTAGTCCCTCTAGTCTAGATTTGGTTAGGAACATTTGATATTAGCGTTGTCGTTGTATGAAGATAGTCATTAGGTATACAAATTATACAATACGAACGTTATAAAAAGCATTGGTTGTTATGGTTGCTATGGAGTTGTTTATCAATACTTTATAACGTACATATATGTATACCTAATAATATCAATATCATATGAGGAATAGCCTCATTCCCCGATTCAATTGTATATGTTACTTTCACCCAAACATTATTAGTTTTTCTTGTGCGCAAAGCGCAATAGGTGGCGCTGCGCCTGCGCGTTTTGTATCTGTCGAAGAAACAGAAAAACAGAATTTATTGGTAAATAATACTACTAGCGTCGTCAATTAATTGTTAATTGACGATTGAACTCGTCGGATGGAGAAAGGCTATTCCCTTATGCGCTCTTGCTAATATCAAATGTTACAAAATCTGTATTTAATATCGTATTAATATCAAATATGTATTTTTTTCAGGAAAGCCTCAATCAAAGTTTGGCCAAAGCAATTTTTGTAAGCGGTACTCCATTGCCTATGGTTGGACATCCACTGTGGTTAGAATTCTTTAAACAACTTCGTCCTTCATTCAAACCACCATCAAGGTATCGCCTTTCATCAACTTATCTCAAAGCTCAGTATACAGAAATGCAAAATTAAGTTACAAGCCAGCTAAACGATTCAAAACACTTACATTTACAATGTGATGGCTGGAGCAACTTTAGAAATGAGTCTATTGTAAACTTTGTTATTTCAAAACCAGAGCCACTGTTTATGGAGTCCGTCGCAACAAAAGAAAACAGACACAAAGCATCTTAACCAGCCCAGCTGATAATCAATATTATTGAAAAATATGGCACTGAAAAGTTTTTGGTAATCATTGGGGACAATGCTTCCAACATGAGAGCTGCTTTAGCGTTGGTAGTATCCATCAATCATACCTCTTGGTTGCCTTGCTCATCTCTTACACCTTCTGTGTGAAGACATCTTAAAGTGCAATACTGTTAAATCTTTTATGGAAACTGTTACTAGCATAGTAAAAACTATCAAGAACAGCCTGGTCAAACAAGATGAGGAAGCAACTTGTTTTGTTTACAGAGTTTATTATCAAATAAATATGTGCTTCAAAGATTAGCTGTCAGTGAAGAAGAAGAAATCTCATCAGAAATGAAAAGACAGATTCTTGATGACGGTCTGTTTTGGGTCAGGGTTGAAAAAATGGTTAACATCTTAAATCCAATTGTTGAGCTTATCACTGCCCTTGAATCAAACACCTCCCTTATCCACAATGTTTATACAATATTGCAAGAAACCCTTAAACAAGAAATGCCAGAATCTCCGCTTCAACAGATCGAGAAAAGAAAAAGTGCTTTCAAAGTTAGAAAAACGTATTCAATTTGGAGTGGGACAAATTCACCTGGCTGCTGACTTGTTAAATCCTTCATCTCAAGGTTGTAGCTTGAATCCTGAGGAATTCTTGATGCTATTAGTTTTGTTTTTGAAATTGGCAACAGCATGGGAATAAATACAGTTGATATTCGTCAAAATATAGCTGACTATAGGGATATAGAAGGGCCGAGGCGAAGGTCTTTTATTTGGGAAGGTGCAAAACATTCACGAAATAAAATCAATCAGTCCCATGTTATGGTAGAGGGGGTTAAGAAGAACAAGTGTATTGGCTGATGTAACTGTGAGAATATTAGAAGCACCTGTGACATCTGCAGCAACTGAAAGAACTTTTAGTACTTTCAGTTGGATTCACTGTAAAAAAGAAACAGACTTACCACCGAAAGAGCTGGACAAATAGCATCTTTATAGCAGAATTGGAATCTTCTAAACAACGCCAAAAAGCCACGAATTGTAGAAAGAAGCCAAGAAGGTGATTTGACTTTGACAAAAAGCCAAAGTGAAGAACTTACGCAAATATCCAATGGTAGTGGTATTAGTGATTGTAGTGACGTCAGTGACGACGAAGATGGCCACATGTCACTTTCAAGCCACTCCAGTGACGAAATCAACTCTGAGCCAGAATATTCAGATAGATTAAGTCATCATATTGTACTGATTTCATTTTTTGAATTACAAAATAAATTTAACACAATTTTACAAGGTTTAACTTACCACGAACCGTGATTCGCTTTAAATTCATAAATACCCGGGTATTTATGAATTTTGGGTATTTATCCTGGATATTTACCCCTAGTTATAAATACCTACGTATTTCACATCACTAGCTAAAGGTGGCAGAAACTCTACTAAGCCTTAGAATAGGAGATAATGAAAAGGCCTAAAAATAATGTATAACTTCAGACGCATCATGAAATACAAATTCAAAATATTAGGCCTACTTTTGGAACTTTTTTTCAAAGAAACAAAAACATATTCTCGAAAAATTCTCACCTTTTATGGTATTACTCTTGATAAGTTTATATAGAAACAGTGTGTCCGAAATTTAGAATGAAAGATTTAGGAACGTATTTCATTCGGTAAATCAAAACACGCTTCGTAATATTAACAAAAGTTTTAAAAAACTATCAAAATTAATTGTTCCAGTGTTATTGGCAAAACTAGAAAGAGTTTTAATAACTAATTTCTAATGTCAAAAAAAGTGACAGATTTACTGTGAATCATTAGAAAGGTAATCGAATTCTGCATGTAATGAAATGAAAAAAAATTTGGTAGTCCCATTTAAAATAATCAAGTTACCTTGGATTGAAATTTTGCAAATTGGCGTAGCGATTACTTTAAACACGATAAGGGTTTGACTTTGATCGTCTGGCAAATGTTAGTATATTTCATGCTTAGTAACACTGTAGATTCACGGCCTTCTAAGTTTTATAATAACTGCGATATTCAATTTTTACTAGACTTCTACTTAAAAAAATAAATAGCTACTTAACGACTCATTTTAGATACCATGTGTGATACATAAAATCACACTAAAATTGACCGAGGAATCCAGATATGCAATAATATACAGGGGGTTTCTATTAAGAAAACATAACTTTAATATAAATCTCCCTGTAGAACAATTGGAATTTCATCGAAAATATTTTTAGGTCCTACACCATGCCCCAAAAATGAATTTTAAAAATATATAACTTAATAAACCCGCAATCTTCCACCCACGCACTAATGGCCCACCCTGTATAATAATCCATAAATCGTTCCTACCCACGTGTTTACTTTAAATTAATTTCAAGCTATTAATAAATGTTTATTGTTAAATAAAATTGTTATAGAAGATAGTAACACACATACGAAGCTCTAGAAGGGACACATGAACAAAATAAAATAATATTCTAAAATTTCGACATCTAACATGACATTTTAAAGCAAAATTTCGAGTTATATCACGAAATTTTAAAATTTTGACTTTTATCACGAAATTGTAAAGTAAAATTTCGAGTTTTATCACGAAATTTTAAAATTTCGACTTTTATCACGAAATTGTAAAGAAAAATTTCGAGTTATATCACGAAATTTTAAAATTTCGACTTCTATCACGAAATTTTAGCAACATTCTAGTTAAGCGTGAGCAAAGGCAGTGTAGTGCAACACCGTTAAGAACACACACTTCAATAGTCGTCATCATCAGATCAGAGAACATAATAATAATACGTACGTTTCGCCAACGTCATCATCAGGAGTTGATGGTAGACTATCGTCAATGACAGTCTATCATCAATGACAGTCTATCATCAACTCCTGATGATGCCAACGTAGTTGGCGAAACGTACGTAGAGTGAATAAAAATCGTAGTTTGGTTTAGTGGTCGACGATAGTATTTCAACTTAATTGATTGACTGTTTTGAGTCCGTAGTCGACTGGGTACTAATTTAAAAAACAAGACATATAGATTCATTTTTTATTGCTTATTAATTAACAATCTGTTGTTGCTCAAACAAATTTACATACCAATTATTTCGTATATGCTTTTCCTAAGATTCAAATACAACTTAACTGCATCATAAGGATCGTAACATTTAGAGTTGAGATTATTTTCTAAAATGACATTATTTACATAAAGTATTCATATCTTCATTGCAAGGAATGTTATAAAATGTACATTCTTCTTCTAAAATCAATATGATATATTGAGAAACTGGAATCAATGAATTTTTTGCCCCAAATAGAGTTGGAGCTTGGTACATCATAATGGGTTTTCCTCTTGATGCCCTATTATTTCTTGTGTTTCGGATTCTATGGCAGTTCCACTCTAACACTACTTTATCTAATTCATCCTAAAAATAAATTAAACATTTGTGTTAAGAGTAGATGGGCAATCACAGGCATACAGGTTTAAAAGTAAAGGTCGTAATAATTTACATGGTCTATTAGGTCGTAACAGATGACAGACATTTAATTCTGGTTTTAGATGATTTACAATCAGCCAATGTGAAAAAAAACTTTTTATACTAACTTGCCTTGCACTGATGCAGGCACCACAAGTGCTTCAAAAACTATACACATTTATATGGAAATTAGAAGATTGCAAGATATTATTAAAGGTAAATACAAGTACCTATACATTTATTTTATACTATTTATATTATTTAAATAGGTACCTTATTTTTACCTACCTGGATCATATTTAAGAAACAGTATTGTATAAGAGATTTATCTACAAAAGTTCCATTGTATAAGCCTTCATCTTTCAACATTTCAAATAAATTCATCCAATACTGGGCATTTTGCTTGCGCAAAACGGACCACCAAGACTCGATTCTTTGGTTAGAAGTACTTCTACCATAGATAAATGCAGGCTTGTGATTTTCTTCTGTTACAAATAATTGCCTGATGGCTATGTGCATTTTTTCAACAGTTCCATTTTCAGTACCCATGTCACTTCGAACTGTCATTGGACATCCTCCTAATACTTTTATCGAATTTACATAATAACCAACAATTACTTTTGGATCGCTTGAGGTGCGTCCAGCATTTAACCATATTATATGTCTTGAAAAACCATCTATAGCCCCATTAATGCAAATGCCGTACGGTTTCAGTTTATCGTAAGAATCCATATGCCATACACTGTTTGGTCCTGAATTATGATATTGTCTTCGACGAAGTCGCTTTCTTTTCCTTAAGTCGACTCCTTTAGAATCTAGTAACAACAAGAATTCTCTCACAGTTTCGCGTGTTACGGTTAATCCATGCTGAATACACTTGAGATGCATCCATCGGTATCCATGTAGTTGGCCCGATTTAGTTAATTCTTCTTGAATAAATGTTAAAACCGTATCAAGATCGGAATAATTCTTTCGTCTATACAAATTCATTTGATTTAATAAACGCTTCAATGTTCTTGGATGAACAGTTATATTGTGGACTCCGTTTAAAAGTGTAATTATTTCACTTTGTTGTAATCCAAGATGAAAATATTTTTCAATTAGCCGCTTTTTACGGACGTCGTAAGACTCCATGATTAACTACAAACAAGAAATATTACAGTGCGTTTTTAATCTCGTCCTCCTCAACTGCAAACTATTTTATTTAAGGCAAAGCTGAGAAACTATATGACACGTCCATTTTTTTATTTAAGCATTTAACATAAAAAATTATTTGTCCCTAGTTTCATCCCCTTAATTCGACAGCCACACCTCTCAATTTTTTTAAGTGACAAGGGGGACTTGTAGTGTCTTAATGAAAATGTTTTCAAAAGCTGAATTCAAAAATGTCACACTTGATGTTTAACATGTATAAACTAAAGGATCTACAGCCACCTGAAAATCTCTTTTTGTTCATTTAGGCGGCTGTAGGTAGTAGAAAAACGGCCTATCAAAAATCGCGTCAGAGATGCGTTAAAGGTTGACAGTACCCTAAAAGACAAAAAAGTTATGAACATGTGGCCTTTTATTTTTATCAGTTCGTCGACAAAATGAATAATCAGCAAGAATTTATACTAAAAGAAATAATTAAGTATGTTCCAACAAAACTTTTAGAGATAAGCTATGCAACATCATGTTTTGTGTCAGATTCACATAAAGTCTTCGTTTGTCGGTGTTTGGTGTTTATTATCATTGATGAAAATAAAAAGCTCCGAATTAATTGATACTTTAAACCTTTAACGTCATGTTTCTACTATTTAAAATGTGCATTTATAAATACATACGGATGGGGGATGTATTAGATAAATTAGCTAAGTACTTACCAATTTGATTTGCAAGATGTTATTGCTGTTTGAATATGAACTATTCGATGTTCTATGATAACTGTTATGTGTGTGTATCATTAACGGAGAGTTGCACTATCACTGCACAGTTGGCACACGCTAAACAAAAAATGTTGCTAAAATTTCGTGATAAAAGTCGAAATTTTAAAATTTCGTGATATAACTCGAAATTTTTCTTTTCAATTTCGTGATAAAAGTCGAAAATTTAAAATTTCGTGATATAACTCGAAATTTTACTTTACAATTTCGTGATAAAAGTCGAAATTTTAAAATTTCGTGATAAAACTCGAAATTTTACTTTACAATTTCGTGATAAAAGTCGAAATTTTAAAATTTCGTGATCTAACTCGAAATTTTTCTTTACAATTTCGTGATAAAAGTCGAAATTTTAAAATTTTGTGATAAAACTCGAAATTTTACTTTATAATTTCGTGATAAAAGTCGAAATTTTAAAATTTCGTGATATAACTCCAAATTTTACTTTACAATTTCGTGATAAAAGTCGAAATTTTTAAATTTCGTGATATAACTCGAAATTTTACTTTACAATTTCGTGATAAAAGTCAAAATTTTAAAATTTCGTGATATAACTCGAAATTTTACTTTACAATTTCGTGATAAAAGTCGAAATTTTAAAATTTCGTGATATAACTCGAAATTTTGCTTTAAAATTTCGTGTTAGAAGTCGAAATTTTAGAATATTATTTTATTTTGTTCATGTGTCCCTTCTAGAGCTTCGTACACACATTACAAATGCTTGATTATTTTCGTAAGGCCGACAAAATCAAAAGTAAAAGACGTCTTATCTGAATTGGAATTAAATTGTGCAGAACATGTGCATATGTGCAGAATTGGACTGAAAATTACCAAATGAAAAAATATCAATTTTGATTAACTTAACTTTAATGACTATTTTTCATTAACTGCACAGATGAGACAAACGTCATTATTCATAACGTTTACAAAACCAAGCCATTAACCAAACAAAAGAAATGCAATTATCATAACAAAACAATATTAAAGACATTATGGATTGTTAATTTTCCCTCATTCATAATACCTTGCATAAAAATTTGGAGCCGCGCCAATATCGCCACTTTAACGTGATGTATAATCTAGTTAGAATCCATATTGTGCAGAAACTAACACCGCATTGTCGTTAAATAGGACAACGACGAAAATGTATGACCCGCATTCCACATCGAGACCTAAATCTACATCCCAACACAAACCCCAATTCTCGCTTTTGAATGGCTTTCTGTCAAGTTCACTGCCAACGGATACAAACGCGGATGATAAGAAAAAAGTTGGGAGAAAACGCAAAGTTGCCAAAAACAATAAGATTTTATATCCAGGATTTATATGTGCATGCGTTGCTACTTTGTTGAAAAAAAAATGCTTAAAATGTGCTTTTCTACGATTGATATACGAAGATACATTTTTCTGACATCTTGTTTGCGTTGAATGCCATTAATTTCTTACACTGTGAAAAATAAGTTGTGAGTAATCATTTCTAATAATAATACTCTATTAATCCTTTTAGATCATATACATGAATAGCTTTTGCCCGCGTCTTTGAACGCATGGTGTCGTATTTATAATTTATAAAAATGAATGATTAATAATTTTTATTATTTTTAGTAATTTTTAATAAATTTTATTAATTTTTATTAATTTTTATTCGATTTTCATTCATTTTTTTCATTTTTTTATATTTATTCCTATTTATTCATTTTTTTTTAATTTTTATTCATGTTTATATATTTTTATTAATTTTTATTAATATTTATTAATTTTTATTATATTTTATTAATTTTTAATAATTTTTATTAATTTTTATTAATTTTTATTAATTTTTATTAATTTTTATTAATTTTTATTAATTTTTATTAATTTTCATTAATTTTCATTAATTTTTATTAATTTTTATTAATTTTTATTAATTTTTAAAAATTTTTAAAAATTTTTATTGATTTTTATTAATTTTTATTAATTTTTATTAATTTTTATTAATTTTTATTAATTTTTATTAATTTTTATTAATTTTTATTAATTTTTATTAATTTTTATTAATTTTTATTAATTTTTATTAATTTTTATTAATTTTTATTAATTTTTATTAATTTTTATTAATTTTTATTAATTTTTATTAATTTTTATTAATTTTTATTAATTTTTATTAATTTTTATTAATTTTTATTAATTTTTATTAATTTTTATTAATTTTTATTAATTTTTATTAATTTTTATTAATTTTTATTAATTTTTATTAATTTTTATTAATTTTTATTAATTTTTGGTAATTTTTATTTATTTTTAATAATTTTTATTAATTTTCACACCTGTTTTCCGCCTTAAAATGTGAAAATTTAAAAACCATGAAACATCTTATTATTTATTTATTACAATTCCATTTTTCAAATTCCCACCTTTAAAAAAAATCGATATTTCCAAATAAACTTTCACCCCCCCCCCCGTTCCCCTCTTAAAATATGAAAATCCAAAAATCCTAAAACACGTTATTATTAATTTATACTCATTAGCTGCAATTCCAATTTTCATTTTTCATATTTCTAACTTCAAAGAGAAAAAAAAAGTTATACTCCTATACAAACTTTTGCCCTCGTTTGCCCCCCTCAAGATGTAAAAATATAAAAACCCTAAAACACATTATTGTTAATTTGTACTCAGTAGCTGGAATTCCAATTTTCATGTTTTTAACTTTAAAGAGAACCAAAAACATGGATACTCCCAAATAAATTTTTACCCCCCATTTCCCCCCTTAAAATGTGAAAATCCAAAGACCCTAAAACACGTCATTAATGATTTGTAGTCAGTAGCTGCAATTCCAATTTTCATGTTTCTAACTAATAGAGAACAAAAAAATCGATAGTCCCTTACAAACTTTCACCCCCCGTTTCCCACACTTAAAATGTAAAAAATCCAAAAACCCTGAAACACGTCATTATTTATTTATGATCAGTAGCTGTAATTTAAATTTTTATGTTTCTAACTTTAAAGAACAAAGAGTTTCATTAAAAGCTCCCTCCCCCCATTTTCTCCCATTTCCCCCCATTAAAGTTTAAATTTCCAAAAATCCTTTCTTAGCGGATACTTACGTTATATAATAAACCTATGTTCCAAATTTCAGCTTTCTAGGCTCAGTAGTTTTGGCTGTACGCTGATAGGTCAGTCAGTCAGTCAGTTAGTCAGTCAGTCAGTCAGGACAAACAATTTTATATATATATAAATATAGGACAAGTCATTTACATATAGCAGGAAATTTCCTAAATAAAAGTCCTACCTCCCGGAACTGTACCAACAACCCTTATAATTTTAATTAAGCGGCGAAAATAACGGTAAAAACGCGTGATTCATCTACCACGCACATCGCCCCAATCTGACACATGAACTAAAAAAATTATTTTAACTGATTAAATATTAATATTAAGGAATAAAAAAATTTGGGTACTAAGTAGACATATGAATAAACAATAAACCGTAAACAAAAAATTTTTATCACTTTTTTTATTAATTATGCTTTTGTTAATTAGTTAATTTTCACCATTTTAATGTTAATAAAAACGCTGATTATTTCAAAACAAGAAATCTAGAATTTTTTTTGATTTTTTTGAGCTATTGTTAAAAGGGTTTAGAAGAGATCCCCGTTGGAAAAATTCAAAAATTTTGATTTTTCACTTTTTTATTAACAATCAAAGGCATTAAAAAATTATTTAGTACAATATTTTTAAAAGTGAAATAAAAAATAATAAATTTTCAATAAAAATATATATATGGTTGTTTTTGTAATATTTTTTAGTATTTAAAAAAAATATTGCGTAAAATTGCATTTGTTTACAACAAATTGTTATATAATATAGGGTGGCTCACGCTCAACGGGACGGAGCTTTATGGGAAAACGACCAAAGATATAAAAAATTCGTTTGGGAGGAATTTATTCATTTATTTATTTATTTATCAGAAACATACAGGTTGCCCTAATTACATGTTCCTGTAACAAAAGTTATTTTATAATGACGTAACAATTTTCATATAATACTATTACAATAATAATATAATGTGTTAAGATCTAGTTTAATATAGGAGACTAGTACAAAGACAGAGATATTTTGTATATTTAGGTAATACGTACATTGGATGTGATATATTTTTTAAACAAGGACATTTTTATTTCAAATAATCCAGGACAGAGATCTGTGATGTATGTGTTGTATAACTGGCATATTCGATTTAAAGTGTTGTTGTTGGTTTCAGTGAAAAATAGTTGTGCCCTGGGACGAGTTCTGTGATCAGCCACATAAAAGTTGATTTTACTTAATAGATTAGGAGAATCAATCAGATGGTTACATAATTTATATAGAAGTATCAAACTGCGATGGAGTCTTCTATTCTCCAGTTTTATAATTTTGAACTCTGATCTTATTGGTTGGTAAGACATATTAGCCCAATCGAATTAGGTGAAGAACAGGCTTGAGATTCTGAAAAATTGGAAGCAGCAATTTTCCTTCGGAATTCGTTGGAGGGGGTCTCTGGTAGTCTAAATTCAAAAAGTTGGGATTCCAAAGTTGTCGCTACCTCCGCCATCTTGATTTAAAGGGTTATTTTTTGTATCTTGAATAACTCATTTATTTTCAATTTTACAAGGAAAATAGTTTTTACAAAAGTTATTTAAAATTAAATTTCCTACAATTCTGCTTTTTTTTGTACGATCGATTTTTTCGATTTAAACCCGAAAAGAGGGGGTGAATTTTTGGTTATAGAATAACTCGTTTATTTTCAATTTTACGAGAAAAATTGTTATAAACAAAGTTGTTTAAAATTAAATTTCCTACAATTCTGCTTTTTTTTTGTACGATCGATTTTTTTCGATTTATACCCGAAAAGAGGGGGTGAATTTTTGGTTATAGAATAACTCGTTTATTTTCAATTTTACGAGAAAAATTGTTATAAACAAAGTTGTTTAAAATTAAATTT